AGGATAGGAGAGATATGATCTCTCTTTTTAGTTTTCATCAGAACTCTGGCTGCAGCCTTTTGGATCAGCTGAAGGCTTTTAACTACAGTCATGGCCAAAAGATTTGAGAATGATTCAAATGTTATTATTTACAAAGTCTACTGCTTCAGTTTTTATAACGGCAATTTGCATATACTCCAGAATGTTATAAAGAGTTATCAGCATAACACCAATTAATTGCAAAGTCAATATTTGCCTAGAAAATGAACTTTATCCCCCAAAACACATTTCAACGTCATTGCAGCCCTGCATTAAAAGGAGCAGCTAACATGGTTTCAGTGATTGCTCCATTAGCAAAGGTGTGGGTGGTGATGAGGACAGGGCTGTCATGATTACGCAGGGGTTGACGTTAAGGACTTTCTAATTTCATTTGCCCAGAAACTATTTTTACTTGCCCAGTATAATGTTTGATAAATTCCTAATATTCATATTTTTCTATATATATCAATGAAACATGTTTGTTTTTTAAATGTTTTTGTAATTCAGTAAGTTTCCAGGTTTCTGGTGTGTATATGCATGCGTCAGATAATGAACTCAAGCCTACATTACCGTGTTAGCATGCTTTTCAATCCTTCCTGCACATTCTTTTCAAACTAAACTTTGCTTTAAACTGTTTCGTGCTTGGAAAAATATAAATTATAATGTTAAAAATCTAAAAAAAATTTGACAGGTTAAAAACTTACACTACTACTATTCACCAATTTAACGTGTTTAGCTCTATAACATTTAAATGCACCGCTCCAATGTCTAAGAGAAAAAAATTTAATGAATATTTTTTTATGTATGACCACTGTACAGAAGACTGGCTTATGATAGAAATATTTACACTGTGCGCATACAATTATTATTATTTTCCTAATCCCTGACTGAACATTTTTAATATAGCGTGTATTATAGTATAAATTAAACTCATCATCCAGCTGCTGCTTTGCAGAATTCTCTCCTCAAGAGCTGAATCACGCCATCTAGCGGAAAATCACGCGAGAATGTGTACAAAACAGCAAAAATGGCGCCGGCAACGCTTATGGGTCATTTTCATCGAATGTCGGTGATTTTAAAGTAATTTTTGAGTGATAAATATATATATTTTTTTGTGATCATTTCACTTGCCCGGCGGGCAAATCCAATTAAATATGTTCTCTCCCGACAATAAACACTACTTGCCCCGGGGGATCGCGCGATGGTTAACATCGAGCCCTGTTTAGGGTTCAATAGTTTCAAGCAGTAATGACAAACAGTAAATAATTGGAAGAATGCCTTATTTCTATGCTGTTTGAGTTTTATCATGTTATTCTGCAACTTACAGGTGGCTGTTCCTTACATCACCTGCCTGAAAAATCATCTTGAAACAAGGTTCCAGAACCTGGATACCATTGCGGCATTCAGTGTTTTGGGACCATGGGGAGCTGCACTGTAGGGGATGAAGAGACAATGGTCCAGTGGCGGCTGGTGAAAAATATTTTTGGTGGGGCTGATATAGCCTAGTGTATGTCTCCAACTAATCCAGAATAAGAATTCAAATAAACAATTGGAAATGAAATACAATTTAGCAGTAATGATTTCATTTACTATATAATAACAGTAACAGCGATGATGTTGGTCACTGTGACGGGGTTCTTTGGCCTCCAAGAATCCAGGCTCAGTCGGTGATTTATTGAGCTCAAAAACTCAAAACAGGGTGCAAAAGAAACTAAACATATAAGATCCTCTGGGCCTCAGCCTCCCTCCAGTTACCAGCAATGTAACAAAGAAACAGAAAACAAAAATGGACGCCCTTCTTCCCACAGCCCTCATTAAATAGTTTAAGCCCCTCCCCTCAGGCTTACTTATTTCTGATTTCTTCTCATAAATCAGTTTTGTCCATATATTACCTCCACAAACAATTGATATACAAAAACAAATAATTTTTACAACTTAATTCCTTTACGCAGACAAGTCTGCCATGTCTGTTTTAGAGACTAAACTGGCTCGCTTGTTTTATTCACCTTCTGTTCTTCCATTAATGAAATAGCATCACCAGGGACCCCTCAGCACTTAAAAAGTCCCCTTATTCCCTTATTTTCCACCAATGTGTTACTGGCCCTCCATAACAGCTCACATCTTTGTCAGTGAAGCTGAGTGCTCCACATCTCTTCCTTCATGGTGCCCATCTACATTAAGATCCACAATTCTGAGATTAAAGTCAGAATTCTGAGATTTAAGTCAGAATTCTGACTTTTTTCCCATATTAAACTGAAATGTTAAAAAATCAGTAAACCTTTCTTTATTATTTCAGTGGCCCCAATCCTCTTCCAGAATTTATTGTCAATTTATTTTCAATTTTTTATTTTTTTTCATCCAAAGGGAAGCTTTATGAGCCAGAAATCCATCCTGGAACCAGAATACTTTAATCCCTGCATATATAAATAAGAAAGGATTGAAAACTTTCCTTTTTAGAAATGCCTACAATTGTTGATTTTAAATTTTTTTTAATAGGCTACGTATGCCTTTTAATGTTATGGTCTTTTAAACTTGTTTTAATTTTCCCTTTTTTATATGTATTACTTTGTAGCACTTTGAGATTTGAAGTCAAATGTAAAGTGCGTTATAAATAAAATTCATTATTATTATTATTACTTTACAGTTCACCAGATCATCCAGTCAAATTGATTCAAAGTTTTCTATCTAAGGAAAACCAGTTGATTGCATTGACTCAAATACAATCCCTCACACTAAGCATGCTTGTAGCGACAGTGGAGAGGAAAAACTCCCTTTTAACAGGAAGAAACCTCCAGCAGAACCAGGCTCAGTGTGAGCGGCCATCTGCTGAGGCCAACTGGGGTTCAAGGAGACAGAAGCAGAGATAGAAAATCCACATTCATTGGAAGACTGCGAAAGGAAAAGATCCACCTTAACTAGTTTTCACTTAATACATTCCCAAAATGCACCATGGTAGAAGCATATTTGCATTTAATGAGGCAGTTATCGATTTACTTATTGAACAGAAAAGCACAAAACATAGGAGCTACTTATTTCTTATTATATTAATTCAGAGATTTTAAAAGTTTTTCTGAAACATAAGTCTTTTGAATTTAATCAACCTATCCGGAAAATCTGCAGATGCTCTTCAATAATATATATACATACATACATAAAAATGGAATCTGGACAGGATGCGGCGCAAGAAGCTGAGGTTGGCTTCCGATTCTAGCTTTCATTTGAGAAATGAATAAAGGGTTTTTCCCTACCTCCAGCAACTTTAATCTACTCTAATTAAAGAACAACAACACCTAGACCCGTTGTGAGGCCTTACTCCAATTTGTGAAACCAGAAAAAGGTTTCATAAATCCGAGACTTGGTTTTAAATATTCCACAAGTAGTTTAGAATAATCTAGTCCACGTTAGATGTGTCTAGCTGTTGTTGTATTTTAATTAGAGCGCATTAAAGATGCTAAAGGTAGGGAAAATTGAGCCCTTTATTCATTTCCCCGAGTCTGAAGCTCCAATCGGAAGCTAACTTCAGCATCCTATGCAATAATCAGTAAGGGTGAAACACTGAAACCCAGCATCGCAACATTATCCCACATGTTCACAGCGCCCATAGGAGACAAGGAACACAAACCTTTTCTCTAGATCACCGGTTCCATTATGTCAAGCTAGTTTTAATAAGTTGGTTTGAAGTTGGGTTTTCAAACCCAGCGGGATCTAGCAAACGGTTGATCCGACTGAAGGACTCCGATGTCGGCCAGCGTCTCTCAGCTGCTCCCCCCTCCCACACGCGGTGGTGCATTTAGGGACTGTCAACAAACCAAGCACTCTTGAAAACAAACATCGATAAGTTCCTTATCTTATGACCAGCTAAGACCAAACTAATATAAAATCATGCCAACAGATAACATGTGTAAGGCACACTTGCTTATATGAAATTTTAAGCTATTTTCGGTTTTCAAGATACTTTAAAAGACAAAAGTTGGGACTTTTCTTCAATAGCTTCCATGTCACGTGACCTGGAGCCTGAATACCCAACTTCAAACAAACTTCACCGCGGTACTGCAGCAATAATAATAATAATAGTAATAATAATAATAAATCCTTCTCATTTTTCCTATTTTTCAATTCAGTTTATTTCTATAGCTCCAATTCACAACACGTCATACGGCACTTTACAGTTCACCAGATCATCCAGTCAAATGGATTTTCTATCTAAGGAAGACCAGTTGATTGCACTGACTCATTGACCCAAAGGCAATCCCTCACACTAAGCATGCTTGTAGCCACAGTGGAGAGGAAAAACTCCCTTTTAACAGGAAGAAACCTTCAGCAGAACCAGGCTCAGTGTGAGCGGCCATCTGCTGAGGCCGACTGGGGTTCAAGGAGACAGAAGCAGAGATACAAAAAGCAACTTTTAAAGGCGTCCCAACAGGTCTACACTGGAGTCATGTGTGGCATGAAAATTGGCCAAATTGTGTGATTGTCTCACTTAATGCATGAAGCAGCCCTGTGATGTGCGGGGTCTGCAGAGATGGTAGGTTCTTATCATCATACTAGACCTGTACCAGAATGGAGGGTCGGTCAGACCTGATGATCCTCACTGCAGAGCTGAGCGTTGGTTGCAGCTTTGACCATAGAGATGGACAAACACAGAATGGATGATGGTAGTGGAGAAGCTGAGAGGCAGCTCTGGTGGAAGGTCGGACCTCTCCTCACTTGAAGTAGTTCTGAGCCAAACACTTTGCAGCTTGGGTAACCTACCAGATCCTGATTCTGCCAACCACATTCCGGAGATAAAAAAGCAGACCTCTTTTTTATTAATAATATTTATCTCTTAATGCTTAGCATACTTTTGAATAACCATGTCAGAAAATCCTCCACTGGGGTTCCACAAGGCTCTCTGCTAAACCTTTTTATTTGTGCAGTTTTTACAGTTTCCGTTTGTCTGGTCGGCCTAAATGAAAACATTTTCTGATACGTTGACTGAGTGAAATACTAGGTTTAAAATTTCCCTTCTAGAGCAAAGCATTACACAGTGCTATCAATCATTCAACGCTATACTGCATGTAAAATAAAAGTGTGAGTCTAAGCATAAGCAACCCTTGTCGGACAGTTTATTTACACTTTTTAAACCATGATTTTTGAAGCTACAAAAGTTATACAAAATACAAACAACATAAAATCAAATTAGAAGCACAGAGAGTTTATTCATGCACGTTATTTTGCTGCAGATCAACATACCAGAACAGAATGAGCTGCTTCTGCAAACAAGCCGTGCACAAAATGTGCTCTGATTAAACCACCGGTCAGAGGGAAATGCCAGATCAACGGGAAATGGAAACATTCTGAGGCTTTAGTGAGAAAAAAAACCCCTCCTTTCTGACCAGAAGATGCAGAGAATCCCCTCCGAACTGAGGTCGTATCATACCCATGCTTGACCTGTTCACAGCCTGGTTACGATACAGCCTCAGCTCAGACGGAAACTGATGAATTGATCTGTAAATAATGTATTTGTTCTGCCTCATCCTCCTGCAGGAGAAGCTGCCCTTAAACAATCCCAGTTCCAAACAGCCAAAGAATAGAGAAAAAAATCTGAAGTAGCGTGGAGGTCCAGCAGCTTCTTCTTGAAACTGGCGCTCTGCAGTGGCTGAGACTCTTCCCTTCATGAAGCAGGCATGATGCAGTGATGAAAAGGCAGGGGAGCGGGGCCATAAATACCTGAGCTTCAGAGATTTCCGTCTTTATCCGCATCTTCAGTTATCCGTGTGGACGACCAGGAGCAGCAGCAGGAGGGAGTGGGAGCTGTGGAGTCATTATAAGTCTAAGCTCTTTATTTGCCGGATTGGGACAGATTAAGGTGGATGACCCGCTCAGGTACATCATAAACATCCGGATTAGATCTAAAGTCACGGAAACGTAAAGGTTCTTATAGAGATTTTATCTTTCAGCCACCTGCTCTTCAACATTTTACCTTAAACCTGAATGCAAAGCTCAGCGGCAGCCTTGAACTCATGCAGGTTAACGTTAAAAGACTGTAATGAGACTGGAACGGAACTTAATAAACACAATCTGACTATGTTTTTTCTTAATTTCATATGTAGAAAAAACAAAGCATTTTAGCTAAAAAGCAGGTTATAGGTTATATTACTAAAGAAAAACATATTTAAGAAAAATACTTACCTTTCTGTTTCCCCCTGGGATTGTTTGAATTAAATTATGTAACATGAGAATCTTATATAAAAACAATCTTAAATAAAATAAATGGTCTAAAATGTATCCTTATGGTGTTAAATGATTAATAGAACAACCTTGTAAAATGAATTTAAATTCATTTCAGGAATATTTTTTTATCCCAAAATGGGAAATTTCAGGGAAAAAAAACATTTATGGTGAAAAGATGATAAAAAGTGATTTTACTTTTTGTTTATCTGGAGGTTAGTGTGTTTGTCGGACAGGTTAATGGTCTTAAGGAGCCGTTAATCACTGATCTCTGAGAAGAACAAACATTTATCTTCTTTTGCAAAGGTTGTCCAACAATAGGGACAGTCAACAGAAAAACAAAAGACAGACATTGGTGAGATCAGCCAATCGCTGCATTATATATGCAGAAATCTACCTATTTCACATCAATTCTTTTTGTATAAAACTGCTTCCCTCCAGAACAAAAAAAAGACAAATTTTCTCCCTGATTCAACCAACAGGAAACAACTTGTCAGGAAAATTCATTTTCTGTTTAAACAGGGTCAGCTGTCAGTTATTTATTTGTGTTTCTTGTCCATAAGGAGATTAAAGTGTCAGAAGGATTAAATCCATACGTTTGAGAAAATCCGTGCAGATTATCTTTGCTTTAAGTGGTTTATGGATGTATAAAAAGAGGCTGAAGGCGTTCGATGTATATAAAGAGACTGAAGGAGCTCGCTGAGGTCGGAAAAGCTCAGCGTAAAGATGAAGAAACATTTTAACCTGTATGAGAATATGACCAACATGGACCCCTTCGAGGGTCCTCAGTATTATATCGCCCCGATGTGGGCATTTCACGTACAGACCGCCTTCATGAGCTTCGTTCTCTTCTGTGGCTGGCCGTTAAACACTCTGGTTCTGCTGGCTACTATTAAGTACAAGAAGCTTAGAGCTCCTCTCAACTACATGCTGGTCAACATCTCCTTCGCTGCCTTCGTCTTCCTTACCTACTCAAACACTCAGGTGTGGGCCGCTGCCGTGAAGGGCTACTACTTCCTCGGTTACACCTTGTGTGCCTCAGAAGCTGCGGTCGCCGCGGGAACAGGTAAGGCTGGGAAGGTGAGCGGCTGATGTGGTGACAGCGGGTTATAAACAACTCTGTCTCCACAGGTCTGGTGACGTCCTGGTCTCTCGCTGTGCTCTCCTTTGAGCGGTACATTGTGATCTGTAAACCGTTTGGAGCGTTTAAGTTTGGGAACGCTCATGCCGGTGCCGCCGTCGCCTTCTGTTGGATCATGGGGTTCGGCGCTGCCTCGCCACCTCTTTTTGGGTGGAGCAGGTGGGTCTCCTGCGTCTGTCGGCTATGTGGGTGCTGATGTTCTCCAGCTGATGTGATCTTTATGTGCAGGTTTATCCCCGAGGGGCTGAACTGTGCCTGCGGACCCGACTGGTACACCAGAAACGAGGAGTTAGGCACCACCAGCTACATGTACTTCCTGCTTACTACCTGCTTCTGCATCCCTCTGTCTGTCATCATCTTCTCCTACTCCCAGTTACTGGGAGCTCTAAGAGCTGTGAGTCCATCTATCCACTGAGACATTTTACAAAACAGCGTGAAGCTGTAGATGCGTAATAATCTACAAATTCAAAAAAACACCAGCTTTGGAGGTTGGATCGGGCATTTCTTGTACTGATGAAGCTTCTCCAATGGTTTTCTGCAGGTTGCCGCCCAGCAGGCAGAGTCGGCGTCCACCCAGAAGGCTGAGAAGGAGGTGTCCAGGATGATCATCGTCATGGTGCTCTCCTTCTGCGCCTGCTACTGCCCCTACGCCATAACTGGTCTTGTGTACGCCAACTCTTCAGACGCAAACAGGGATTACAGACTCGTTACCATCCCAGCTTTCTTAACCAAGAGCTCCTGCGTCTACAACCCCCTCATCTACATCTACATGAACAAGCAGGTGAGGAGGACCCACTTGGTTCTGATCCCTGAAGTAGCTAAGTATTACATTTTGTAGAGATCTTCCTGCAATGCTCCTCCCAAACCAGAAAGTCGATGAAGATATAAAGATCCTGACTTTTTGCTTCTCTGTCTCTAGTTTAATGCCTGCATCATGGAGATGGTGTTTGGAAAGAAAATGGAAGATGCATCTGAAGTGTCTTCAAAGACTGAGGTGTCCACAGCATCGTAATGTTTGGAGCAAAACTCATAAGGACATTTGACTTCCCTAAAGGACTTTTAAACTTTTTGGTTCAGAGGATCCACAGGAAAAAGCACCATGTAAATACAGTTTACATATGAAAAGACCAGATGAAATTTACTGTAGTATGCATTTGTATAGATAAAAGCAACAAAAAAAACTAAATAAAAATATGTTCAATTTATTGTTGGATTTTCCTCACTTTTGCAAAATGACAAATTGCGTTATTAACCACTCAGAGACCGTAAGAAAGTTTGGACTTTTATTAAATAGGTGTTGAAGATCTGTCGTCACCAAGGTCAGTTCACCTGAGGAAAGGAGAGGTAGAGATGTTAGCGAGGCGGCAAGAATAACAGAGAAGATATTCTGAGAATATGAGTGTAGCTTGTTCACTGATAAGAAGAGAGCTAGCAGCGAAGGAGGAGGCCACCCCATTGGTTTGGAGGTAAGTGGGGTTTTACATCCTTTGGAAAGCGCCATGTAAAACTCCGCCCTCCAGCATACCACCTGTTCACAGGTGGTATGCTGGAGGGCGGAGTTGTACTCTAAGTTTAAAGGAGCTGCAGGTGGCAAAGTGGGGCTGGTGCACCCAGAAATGACCTTTGGAATCCAAGGGTTCAGGACACGGAGCCGGTAAGCTGTTCTCTGGATCTGAGGACACACAGAGGACAGAAACACATGAGATCAATCTGGAGACTGAAGGTCTGGCTTGTTTCTACCTGTGCAGGTTAACTATCAGTTGCAGAGCCATTGTGAAACAGGCAAGAGATGAGGAGACACTCTCTGCCATAAGATAAACCACCTACTTCAGGCCCACCCACCACTCCGAAACTCTCACTGGAAACAAAGGTAAACGGACTCAGGAAACTCACAGTACGGTAGTTATTTAAAAACTATTTGCACAGCAGTAAACTAACGTTTCTACTAACAAACTAATCCCTGTTCATATCCAGCACAAGAACGAATGGAAGAGAACCACAGACTGAGAGCTAGAACCAGCTCTACATCCTGAAGAACATCTACAACATCCACCAGACGTGGAGACATCAGGCAGCCGTCAGAAGGAACGACAGAACCGCCAGGCATGAGGATAAACGATAATGACTCCTATCAAGCTGTGTCCAGCACAGACAATCCTGTCTGAATCCTGTCGGTCTGCTCACTCCTGCTGCCTGGTGGCCGTTCTAGAGGTGGCAGCCCTATGTAATCAATGGCTCCATCCAAATGTCAGTGAGGATTCTCAAGCCAAAGCGGAAGTGCGTCAGCAGGCGCCATGACCAGTGCTGTCCGGATAGAGCTGGCAGTAATGATGGAGGTAGGAAGATGTAGCAGCACGCTTCCTGTCATAGCTCCTTTAGCATAGAGTCCTCCCAACACTCCTGTTTCTTCACGCATAGCCTACACATGCTAATGTTCACCTTTATAATATATAATTAGCCAGTTAATACATTGCTATTACTTTTCTGAAGGCTTTAGTCCCAAATCAACTAACATTATCCATATAAATATTTGGGCTGAAGGCTGGATTCCTAACCCTGGGTAGCGCTCTACAGTTGACCCCATGTAAGGTGGCAGGGAAAGGAGCTAGGAGCTAGCAGGAGAAGCAGAGGATAGGGGT